TGGGTCTTAGCAATAAAGCAAGCTATGTATCGTTGCAATTTACAGGACTAAATCAGGCTCATGCCCAGGTCATAAGAGCAATGGAGGAGGGTTCAGGTACAAGACAGAACGAAACCATTATCAACAAGCTTCACACTATCTTTACTATGTGTGGTTGATCACCCACTGTCTTAAAAGGAAAAATTCCAGCTACTACAAGACTTTCTTACTTTTCATCACTAAAACACAAACTATCCAGAAAAAGAATAATTTTCAGGAGTTTCTACCTTTTCAGTTTTAAGTCAATGAATTTCATTAGAAAAATTCTGTCATTTCATTTGAAGGCATCTCAACTGATCATTCTTCAGTCAAAAACTACACATTGTACACTTACTATACACTGGGTACTCTATGGGTTACAAAGACAGCTGAAAACTATGACTCTTACCATACAGTTATAATAGACCCAAGAGATAAAACATGTACCAAAAATCTCTCCAAGTGGTAAAAATGCCATACAAAATAAACGACTCTAGAGTAATTTGGGAGACTAAAAGAGTTCACTTTTCATATCAGTTATGAAAAGGAAAGCTGATAAAAAAGAGAAGTACTAGGCAGAAAAATGAAGGCTGAATAAAAGTTATAGTATTAGAAATAGGTCAGGGGGAACTTTGAGAAAAAGAAACAGCATGAACAGAATTAAGAGGATGAGAAATTTCTGGGAAGAGTGCTTCAAACGGGAACAGTGCCTGGTGTTTTGTGGGGGCGAAGTAAGAAAGCTGGTGATTAGGCCAGAGTCAGAGTATAGTGGATTTTGAGTCCCATGCAAAGGAATCTGAATTTCATCATATGGGTAATGAAGTACTACTAATGACTTATGAGCAAAGGACAAACAGAAGACATGATACTTCAGAAAAATTAATCTGGTAGTGGCAAAGAAGATAGACTGGGATAAGGTAGTTGACACGCAGGGAGACCAGTTAGAAGGTGACTGCAACAGTTCCAGTACAACAGAAAGGACACTGAACTCAGATGGAAGTAATAGAAATGGAATTCTTTATATGGTAAGGCAGTTTACAACTTTTTATATTTCTATATATTTCATGAGAATTTCATATAAATTAACCACCCAAATCAAGCCAAGACACCCCTATACAAAAAATTATTGCATTCCCAAATCTGCACACCAAAAGGGTTATCTGAGACATAATCATGTACCAAATCAAAGGGCAGGGTTTGCCTTTCAAAAGAAACATCTAGTTACTATCAGCCCAAGAAGGTTCATATTATTTCTATACTAACATTTAACAATGCTCTAGGGAAGTGACAAACAATCATGTTTTGAGGACAAATATTTTTTGCATTTTTTTCCTTTCCATCATCTTTATCAGTCCAGATATTTGCATGAAAACAGGATCACTGGTCCTTGGGGATTCATCAGTTCCTACTGCTTATTTTTCATCCATGTCATCCTCTCAATTAATGCAGGAAAAGAGGATTGAGATATCGAAACACCAGATTAGGGTATCAAGTAAATGTCAACCCCTAGAGTAGATGAATAATCTATAAGAACACACACAAAAAAAATCTTGTTTTTATGCAAATACACTATACACAATAAAACAAAGAGAGACTGTATCCAAGAAGTCTGATATATATCAATGTAATTCTCTCCAATTCTAAATTTAAAAACTATTTTCTATGTCAGCTAATTCCTTATGATCAAGGAAAACGACAATCAGTTGCAAAGCACTGCTACAGAGGTTTAAATAAGACTGAATTTTGAACTAGAAAATAATTTTGAAAATCTCAGCTGTGCTCATGGGACTTACCTGGTAGAAATGAGCATTTCTATTGGAGAGTTTTGGTTCAGTGCTTAAGGTGGCTGATTAGGTGACTTCAAATTCCCCCACCTTAAGTTTTAGAAATACACTTAACAGTAATAATGGTTTTAATTGTGAGGATTAAAAACTAAAACAAACCATATCAAGTTTCTCATTCAGCAGAAAGCCATTAGAATAGACTTCATTGATGCTTAGGGAACTAAATCATTCTAAAAACTGATAAAGAGAAAGAATCATTTATTCAGTTAATAAAAGATTATTTGGCCCCGCCAGCATGGCTCAGGTTTCGGGCTCCATCCCCAGAGGGGGCGTGCAGGAGGTAGCCGATCAATGATGCTCTCTCATCATTGATGTTTCTATCTCTCTCTCCCTCTCATTTCCTCTCGCTCTGAAATCAATAAATTTTTTTTAAAAGCTTACAAAATAATAATAATATACTTCCTAAGATAAAGACTATCATAGAAAAATTCTAGCTAATAAAAAGGAATGACAGAATTAAAATATTACCATTTTGCAACCTAAAATAAAATAGTGGATACAGGCAATTATCAAAGGCTGATAAAACTCTGGGGGTGTGAGGCTGATGGAGAATTTTACAATAAATAACAGATCAGGCTAATTTTACAATAAATAACAGATCAGGCTTTATCAACTAATTAATCTTACATCACAAAGAGAGACAAACAGACATTACATACCTTCTGATAAATGTATACACCATAATTTATGAAATAATCTTGCCAAAATAAAAATCAAGCCTGTATCTATCTATGGGAGCTTCCAGTTCTAACTACCAGGAAATAAAAAGTCATAGATGAACATACTAAGCACTATCACAGGGATGTGAGCAACAAAATCCAGAATATGGGAAATTCTACTGAACAAATAACTAGGTTTAATAAATGGCAAGGGAAAATAAAGGGAGGTAGAACTATGACAGATTAAAAGACACTTAAGAGACATATCAACGAACTATGGCATATGAACCTTATTTAGGTCCTGATTCAAAAAAACTAACTGTATAAAAACAATTATGAGTCAACAAGGGAAATCTAAATCCTGATTGGCTGTTTGATGATATTGTATAAGCCTGTTAAAATATTTTAGTCATAATAATGGAATTGTAGTTATATTATAAAAAGAAAGGAAGGGAGAGAGGGAGGGAGGATAGTCCTTCTCTTTTGGAATCACATATGAAGTTTTTTGGCAGTGAGGTAATATGATGCCTGAGAATTAATTTAAAATAATCATGGGAGATTGGTATAAGTAAAACAGATTGCCCATGTTGACTACTGAAGCAGGCCATGAGTACATGAGGTCATTATTTTAGTCTCTCTACCTTGGTATATGTTTAAAATTTTCCATAATAAAAAGCAGTGAAAAAAATTTTAAAACCCACTTCATTATATTTCTCAGTAGGAAAGCAGAAAAAAGAAAATTATTCAGAGAAAATATTGCAATTTCAACTATAACTATACTAGAGATAACATTGTTGATCAATACATTCAGTAATATAGCATCCTTTTGATACGAGCATAAAATTTATTTCATTAAATAATTGACACAGAGAGGTAAAGGATTGACTTTTATGATTATTACAGCATTTATTATCCAGAGCTAGAAAAAGAATCAATTTCTATACTATACAAGCCCTGCATTCATGAATTTAATATTCAAAGATTTGCTTTTTCATTATAAACCCTGGAGGTCTATGACATACCTGGTAATTAGTAATTTCACCAAGACATAAACTTTAATCATAAGAAATATACAACCAGTACACAGAGGAGAGTTAGGTCACAATGAGTGAACCTAGCAGACTACCTACCTAGCAACCATATCTCAAAGCAGTTTGTTGTTCTCTGCTCCTTGATTCACGAAGTGATTAAAAAATGTTTTCTTGGTAAAAGAAAGCCAATTGTTAATCAGAGTAATGGAAATAAAGAAAAGATAAAGAGGGCTAAGAAAGTGATGACTACTCATCAAATATCATAAACTTTAAATGAAATTGTAAAGTTAAATGTTGAATTTGGAAGTAACTTAAATCAATGATGTGCAAAAATCCACTATATGCTTTATAAACAAAAAAAATAATTTATGAAACTTTTTAGGATTGCTCTAATCGATCCTCTAATCACTACAAAACTTGCAATTTGAAGAAAAATATAAGCTGTAGTAGCCTCTAAAAATTGTGGATTTATGAAGGTCAGGAGGTACCCACTGAGAACAAAGTTCTAACCACTGTATTTATATTGAGTATCTCTTTCAATTACAAAGTGAAAATTTCCTACAATTCCTTTTCTAGTTTTATAATGAATACAGTATAGGAAGAGATATAACTTATAAAGAAATAATCTTAAACTAAAAGACTGAAGAATAGACAGGAATAAGTGAGATCTTTTAAAACATTACTCATGGTAGATTATGTTCTTGGTCTGCTATCTTTCGCTTCCTTTGAGGAATCAGTTGCTCCCTCCCATTCCGTGTGACTGGGGTTAGACTAAACCTTTCAATTTGCATCTGCACCTAGGACCCAGGCCTGATCTATCAGAGTGCTCCATGCTACCTGGCTAAAGGACTCATTCCCGGATAGGTATGTGAGCCCAGATGGAACAGTCAGAGTCCTCCCCAGGACCTTTCTTTTGGAATGTTCAGAAAAAGATGTTTTTACTTCGGGGATTATAAAATTTAAAGACACATAAATTAGAGCTCCTTTTGGCCACCTTCCCCAGTTCTAGGAAAAAGCGATCCGCAGCAGCAAAGAACAAGACTAATACAGTGAAACAAAGCCTTGAGATACAAAACAAAAGCAAGAACAAAAGCAAATCTCAATGACATCATTAAGAGTCATGGATCTAGAAATCCTCAAAAGTATTTCTATTGCAATTTTTATTTATGTGAACTAATAAAAGTCCCTCTTATGCTTAAATTAGTTTGAGGGGACATTCCATCAATTAAAACTGAAAGGGTTTCCAATACACTTTTACTGTACAGAGAAAAATAACTTATCTAGTAAACTCAGTAATTATTCCAGCACACTCTACCATGGGCACACTTTAGATTACAATGACTTCTTACCTTCATAAAATGTAATAAAGATACTTTCTGTATTACAGCTAGACCTTATCATGCAATACACAACAGACAACCCTGAATAAATGTGATCTGGGTACTCACACTCATCTAGCCCCAGCTGATAGGCCAGGTTCTGAAGGCCTCGTACCTTCTCCATCAAATTAGCTGTAGTGAGGCTCCCCAGTTCTGAAACAGAATCATTTATTTCAATACCATTCTTTCCACTGTTCTCTAGTAACAACTCATTCAAGTTGGGAATCCTTGTTATAAAAGTTTTCAAGCTTAATATCTAAGAAATAAGTAGAAAATAAACCCATTTCTTTTCTCATCCAACCATCCCTCACACACACACACACACACACACACACACACACACACATACACACACACTAGTGAATTTTTCCCACTACTGCAAAATGCCTCGGATGAGCTTACCCACTCTGAGAAGAGAGTTAGCATAAATACAATAGCAAATTATGTGTTTTATCCTAAGGATCCTTTTATAACATTTATTTTGCCTTTCATACAAAATGAATACACTATTAAAATATGAAACCTTGTGATTTGACACAGCATTGAGAAGGCCTACCAGAGAGTTCTGTCTTGAAAAATGGACACCAACTCCACTGTCTTTTATTAAGTCCCTATTATTTCAATTAACAATAAAATAGTGACAAAACATGTAATTATCGCTCATTTCTCTAAGTTTAGAAAACAAAAAAATAAATATTAATTCGAACTTTCCCTTCAAATAAAATAAATACTATAAAATTTTTTTAAGTTTACCAGGTAAAAAGGCAGTATGCTTTAAAAAAAACTTACTTTCCCAGATTTTCATTTAAATACCATAGCACAAAATTCCCTTTAGGTTCAAGACACAGGTCAATTTATAAGGAACATAATGCTATATCCCTTATAAAAATTTAAAGTTTCCTTAGAAAATGCATACTGATGGCATATTATATAAATGTCTGTTTGGAACATTAGAACAATGAACCCAAAATGCCCTTGAGACTTAATATGCCCAGGGTTGGAGGGGAATCTGTACTTAAGCATTTCATGCAGAACAATGAATTACCTTTGAAATCAAATAAAGGTGTTATTTCCTCCTACTTATCATGCCACACTCATTATCTGTATCTGGCATAAGTAGTAGACTTTCCTGATCTGTTCTGCTGCTTAAATAGCTCAAGAGTACAATTTTTGCCTTCATTTCAGTCTATTACTTCACAATCATCATGAATCTTATCATCAGAGGATGATTAAAAAATAAATAAAGTAGAGCAAAAATCAAGGAAAATTAATGTTTTTTAATTTAAATTTCCACTTGTGGTTGAGTTCCAAGTCATTTATCAAACAACAATATTCACGACTTATAGTATTCTTTATGGGAGAAATTGATTGAATAGAATAAAATAAAAGACAGGTCTTAACCCACTAAGGGGTTGTCAAATAATAGTACTGACAACAATGTATGGCAGTAAATCCTAAATAAGGCACTTGTTTAAAGTGAAAAGAGACGAGACAATATAAAAAATAAAGAGTTTAGCCCTGGCGGGTGTGGCTAAGTGGTTAGAGCTTTGGCCCTCACACCAAAGGGTCTCGAGTTTGATTCCTGGCCAAGGGCACATACCTGAGTTGTAGGTTCAATCCCAGGCCCTAGTCGGGGTGCTTGTGGGAGGTAACCAATCAATGTGTCTCTCTCACTCTCTCACATCAATGTTTCTCATCCTACCTCCATCCCTTCCACTCTCTCTAAAAATCAATGGGGAAAATATCCTAGGGTGAGGATTAACTAACTAACTAACTAAATAAATAAATAATAAGAGTTTAAATTTTTTCACTCTAACAAATCTTAGTTAAGTTAACCTTTGAAACTTAGATATCATCATACCTAACTCACAGGACCTTTATGAGAATTAAATGAGAGAGCTTTTGTTAACTGTAAGCATTATACAAAATAAGGTAATACTAAAGGAATTTAGCAGCAGAAGAAATCATTATGAGCAGGTCTTAAATTAGAAGGATTTCTACACATGGAAAAGTAAAGAAAGGCATTTAGACATGAAGAACTATCCATAAGGATAGGTAGGCAATTTGACCGAATAAGAATATTTTTAAGGGAACAGTGAGAGAAAAACTAGGAAGGTGGTTTGTGGGGGAGCATAATATCAGGTTAAAAGTTAGAAGTCACCAGCATAGCTTACCTTTCAACATGTCGATGTCATCACGCTCTATTTCAGCCATCCATTTGGGTGGTGAGCTAGTAATAGGCTGTCAAAAAATAAGAAATATCAATTCAGATACATACAAAGTATGAAGAGACCTTACTTTTCCTTCTTATAAGTAGCTTGTCACACAGCATTCTGGTTGTTTGAAAATACTGGCAAATTATAATTTCTAAAACCCAGATTTCTCCAGGTTCAGATATGGCCTATAAATAGTCACCTGACAAAATAACACTGATCCTTAAAGTTGGTCTCAGAGAAATGATCTTGGAAGAATTAGGTCTGACTACTGTTACTGTTTCATGTATAGCAATAAAAGAAATTACTTGAAATTCAGTTCTGGTGAAAGCGTCCAACTAAAATGTTTGAAACAATAATCAGTAAATAACATTGTCTAGCAGAGGAAAAGATTCAAATAAGACTCAAGAATGAGAAAATCCTCACTTTGCAAGAAGACTATAATGATCATCATTTGAAATTTCTTTTTATGGTGGATGTTTTAGAAAAATTTCAAGTTATCTCATTTCTGAAAGTGAACTTACAAAATTTGAAAGAACCCATTCTTAGAATAGCTTTGGGCAACAGTTTTCAATCCTAGTTACATGTAAGAATCATCTATGATGTAACAGCAACAAAATACAAATGACCTGGCCATACCCTAGATGCACTGATTCAGAATATCAGGGCTAGGGGTAGGACCCAGTGGAGATAACAGAGCAAGGGACATTACGTATGTCTTTTTTAAAAGCTCCACAATTGCATATTTATAATTCTGTTGTGCAGGTAAGGGTACCATTGAGAAACATTACTTCAGCTTTGAGCCCTTTTCTTTTTTAAAAAATTAGTATTTACTTGGCACTATGCGACAAGCAAAACACTTTAAATGCATTATGTCATTTAATTTCCAAATCAACCCGATGAAGCAGATATTATTATCCTCATTTTACAAATGAAAAAACTAATGTACAGGAAGATTATAAATTGCTTGACTCAGGTCACACAGCTAGTGGAGCCAGTATTTAAAATCCATGTAGTATGAGTTCAGAAATCACTACTCATACTACCTTCCCTAGAAGGCTCTAGGTCAAATTCACCATTTCTGGAAACATTACACCAAGAGATCTTAACCTGGGGTCCTGGGATGACCCTGAACCTCTAGAAACAAAACTCAATACGTAAGTGCATATTTCTAGGGAAAAGATGTAGATACTTAATCAGATTTTCAAAAAATACCATACTATAGTAAGTTATTTAAAAACCACTTACTTATATTCACAATTCAAAATACTTAGTTGTTACCAAATACAATGAACTAAACTGAAAAGTCAGTATAAATGAGAATGCAAGAAAATTAAATCAGGTACTTTCTACTCCATCTATGAGCCAAAAGATGATCTAATAATAATAGCTACTGTGTATTGTTTATTATGTCCCAGGTACTATGCAAAATGTTTAACATGCGTATGTCATTAAGATTCCTATGAGGTAGTTTCAGATGAGAAAACTAGGCTCAAAAATGTTAGAAAAGTTGCTGAGGTCACAGATAGTTAAGAAGCAGATTCAGGCCCTGGCCAGTGTGGCTCAGTTGGTTGAATGTCATTCTGTGTACCAAAAGGTCGCTAGTTCTATTCCCAGTCCGGGCACATACTCAGGTTTAGGCAGGGAACTTACGGAAGGAAACCGATCAATGTCTCTCTCTCACATACATGTTTTTCTCTATTTTCTCTCTCTCTCTCTCAAGCATGTCCTTGGGTGAGGATTAAAAAAACCACATATAAGAGTGTGGATGCTAGTAATCAGACTAATGGGTTCAAAGTCTGATTCTGCCACTTACAGCCTGTAACTTTCGGTAACCTACTTACTCTTCTGTGCCTATATCCTTGTCTGTAAAATGCCTCATAAGGTTTTGTGAAGATTAAATAATATATGTGAAGTGCTTAGAACAGTGCCTGGAACATGATAAATACCATGTAAGTGGTAGCTAATATTACAATCATCATATTCTCCTGGTTGTGGGAATATAGGACAGAACGTATGTACAACATCTAGCACAGTGCCTGCTGCCCTGGAAGCAGAAAAGTTGTGGCTCTTATGGAAGTCTTCCTTTGGTTTCTGATGAGCCACTGAGAAATTTCAAAAATCCTCTAAGGAGGTATAAGTTAAGGTCATAATATATCACATAAACAAAACAGAAAAGCTTCAAGGTCACAGTTTGGGCAAAAAGAATGCTGGCGTTACATTAAATATTTCAACTGCCTCACATTAGAAGCTTTTAAGCTAAGAAAAGAGGCTAAGAGACAAAGGTCAAAATGCCAAAACAGAGCATTTGGAAAAGGAAGGCAATATCATCAATTAACATGATAATAATATAAACAGATTTCCAGGCTGTAGTTACAAAGTGATTTAAAGATTATTTTTGAAAACAAGAGATATTTGAACTTTCACCAAGGAGCAAATCATTGGATAAACTTCATTAGGTAAGTAAAATGTTACTTACACTTTTGAAAGAAGCTGCAAATTCAGCAACACCTGGTACTAAAAAGAAAAAAATACATTATTTATTCAGTAAACATTTTAGTGTCCCAGACATAGAGGATTCAAATAAGAAGAAAACAGCCTCGTCTTCAAGGAGCTTACTGTCTGGAAGAGGAGAGAGAGCAAACCAATAACTGTAATATCGTTTAAGCGCTCCAAGAAAGATACCAGGTGCTATGGAAGGACCCCCTACCACCACCACCAAAAAGAAAAAAGAAAAGAAAGAAAGCTAAATCAGGCTGAGGGTACAGGAAAAGCTTCTCAGAGAAAATAATGCCTCAACAAAACTTTTAAAGATCAGGAATTAGCTGAATGGGAGGATGGCAAGATACAATAGCTCTTACCAAATGAAAGTTTAAATTTCCTTTTTAGGTATGCTGTTCTGCCAATCCAATTGTTTATTTAAATGTCTCACAGGAAAAATCACATAAAAAACAGAAAAGTAAAAAACAGATATTTAAAAATAAAATGTTCAATCTCAGAGAAATACAAACTAAAAATAAAGAACAGTAATAATATCAGCGAGGATAGGGCACTCTCATACAGTCATCCTCCTCCATGTGCACAAAGCTAGTTGTGCAAGTATATTCACTATTAAATTATTTGTAGTATCAAATATTGGATATAATTTAGGTTTCCAAATAGGGTACGAATACATAAACTATAGTATATCTAGACAATGAAATAGTTTAAAAGAATAAAGTAGATCTCTCTACATCTATTAACATGAAAGGATCTATTAATAAATTACTACTACTAGGTGGAATAAATTAAGCTGTAGACCATGTACATATGACCCCATCATTATACATCCCCCCCAAAAAATCTATATACTTAAAAAAATATATTTATTTGCTTATTTGAATAAGAATAAAAAAGGTCAAAAGGATTGCACTAAACTATTAGTGGTGACTTTATGAAGGAGGTGAGGAAATACATTACGTATCTCTGTATTGTCTGAACTTATGACAGATTTTAAAAAAATAATTATTTCTTTTAAAGGCTCCCTTATCATTTTCTGAGTGACACTGTGTTCTGAAAAAATTAAACCACCAAATAGCTATTCTTAACATTGGACCACAGAATTCAGTCTCCTCCCTTTGATGTAAAATTAACATTTTAACCATTATAGTTAAATGATACCTCTTCAAAAATTTCCCTCAATGTACTGGTTTTCCTGCATTGATTCTGATATAACGAAACCAAAAACTTACATTGTTCTGGCCAAAGGTCTGGTGAGGCACGGTCAAGTTTTTCAAAACTTAACAAAGATGCTTCTAGATCTGTCCCTGGAACAAAATACCCAGATGAGCCAAAAAGACACAAAATATGTTAATTTATATTTTAAAATATTTCAATCTCAAAGAACATAACATACTGGAACATTCACCTGGAAGTCTAGGCATCTGAGTTCTATAACTACAAATAAATGTTATACAAATGATATCAATTTAACATGATCAAACCCCAGTTTTCTGATCTCTAATGTTTTAGTGGGGTGTTAGAAAAAAGTGAATATCAGCAAACCCCCCTGCATCTTCAGTCATACTCTTAGACTTCCTTCCAGTTACAATCAATTAAGTGTCCCTGCTCTCAAGAAAAAGAAAATCCTTTGCTAGGGTTCTGAGTTCCATCTTCTCTTGCTCTGTCAAAGACATCATGAATAATAATATCTTTCTTGTATAATCAGTTTCTACCATCTCTACTGGCTCACACTCAACAGCAAGTAAGCCTGCTCTAGAATTTCCCTTCTTTGGAAAACTTCCTTGATCCCATTTAACTCCTTATGCCTCCTTCACTCAAAAGTTGAGATGTCTATCCTACTGTCTCTACCTCCTCACCTCACATTCTCCTCAACCCATGACAATCAGGCCTCTGCTCCTCTATACATGGAAAGTGCTGTTGCCAAGGTTATCTATGATCTATGTTGCTAAACCCAGTCGTCAGTTCTCTGTTCTCCTTTAGTGACCCTTTTGCAGCTCTAACACACTGGCCGCTCTTCTCGGAACACTCCACTTCCAGCTTCTATAAAACGACTGTGCTGGTTTTTCTCCTTCCTCACTGACCCCTTCCTCAGTCTCCTCTTCCACTCAGGCCCCATCCTAAGCTGGATTCACTCTCTACCTAAAGTCTCTTAAGAAGATCTCATCTAGTCCCACAGCCTTTACTAGGCCAATGGCGCCACATTTTTATTTCCAGTCCCAATCTTTCTGAACTTCAGAATTAAAAATCTAAGTAGCTACTCGACATCTCTCTCCATTTACATGTGTGAAAAATCCCTTAAGTCTAATATGTTCAAAACCATACTTTCCCAGTCCTCTGTACCTCAAGAAATAGCACTACCACAAACCCCAGATGTCATTCATTCTTCATGCCTCCCTTTCCTTCACCTTTCCATAACCAACCATTAGTAAATCTACTAGTTTCTATCTCCAAAAACACACCCTGAAACCAAATTAGTTAACCAAGGAACCATGGTTTCTCTCCCAAACTACTTCAATACCTTTTAAAAGTTCTCCCTTTTCCCATTCTTACCCTTTCCCCTCCCTACCCCCAAATCTATTCTCCACAAAGTAGCCAGAACTGATTTTTTAAAAAAATACATCTTTATTGACTTCAAAGAGAGGAAGGGAGAAGGAGAAAGAGAGAGAAACATCAATGATGAGAGAGTCATCGATTGGCTGCCTCCTGCACGCCCCCACTGGGGATCGAGCTACAACCTGGGCATGTGCCCTGACAGGGAATCAAACCACAATCTCCTGGATCCTAGAGGTCGATGCTCAACCACTGAGCCACGCCAGCCGTCCCCCACCCCCAAATATTCTAAGAGAATTTCCAGTGGCATTCAAATTGGTCAAGAACTCAACCCTAATAAATTGCCTTAACTAAAGCATCCAAAAATGGTAAAAAAGGAAAGCTGTGTGTAACACAAAGTGTCAATTTTCTTTTTTCATAAATATATCTTTATTGATTTCAGAGAGAGGAAGGGAGAGGGAGACAGAGAGACAGAAACATCAGTGATGAGAGAGTCATTGATCCGCTGCCTCCTGCAGGCCCCGGACGGGGGATGGAGCCTGCAACCTGGGCAGGTGCCCTGACTGGGAACTGAACAGCAATCTCCTGGATCCCAGGTTGATGCTCAACCACTGAGCCACGCCTGGGCAGACTAAATTTTCTTTTTAAAAAAAAGAAGAGGGAGAAAAGAAGGAGAGAGACAGAAACATCAACAATGCGAGAGTCATTGATTGGCTTCCTCCTGCACGCCCCACTGGGGATCAAGCCTTCAACCCAGGCCGTGCCTGACCGGGAATTGAACTGCGATCTCCTGGATCATAGGTAGATGCTCAACCACTGAGCCACGGAGCATTGTCTGGATATGCTAAGGTTTCAGTTTGATCCCCAGTCAGGGAACATACAAGAATCAACCAATGAATGCATAAATAAATGGAACAACAAATCAATGTTTCTCTCTCTCTCTCTTCCTTTCTAAAATTTACTTAAAAAAAAAAAAGACATGTAAATGTCCTAATCTTTTTCAAATTAACATTATTTCAATTAAATTTTAAAGACGAGGGCAGGTATAACACTAAAAATAGAAGTAAGAGAGCTAGGCAATGCAATATTTTAGGATGATAAACTTTTTTTTTTAATCCTCACTTGAGGATATTTTTTCCATTGCTTTTCAGAGAGAGTGGAAGGGGGAGAGAGAGAAAAAAAGAGAGAGAGAAATAATGATGTAAGAGAAACACACCGATTGGTGCCTCCTGCACACACACCCTGACCAGGGCCAGGGAATGAACCAACAACCCTTGACCAGAAATTAAACCCATGACCCTTCGGTCTGCAGGTCGACCCTCTAATCACTAAGCCAAACCAGCCAGGGAAGGATAATATACTTACTTAGAAGCTGAATTTAAGTTCAAAGTGTTCAACTTGATTTTGTCAGATAAAAAAAAAAAAAAAAAGATT